GTGGAGTTTCTATCTAGTTTGTTCAACAGGATTTTAGAGAGTGAGAAGATGCCTGAGGAATGGAGGAGAAGTGTACTAGTGCCGATCTTTAAGAACAAGGGTGATGTGCAGAGTTGTAGCAACTACAGAGGTATAAAGTTGATGAGCCACACAATGAAGCTATGGGAAAGAGCAGTGGAAGCTAGGCTAAGAAAGGAAGTGGATATCTGTGAGCAGCAGTATGGCTTCATGCCCAGAAAGAGCACTACTGATGCAATTTTTGCTCTGAGAATGTTAATGGAGAAAAGTTATAACGGGACACATACTTTGACCTGTACGGAGAGACGTGTTGTCAAAGGTGTTCATTTTTGTTCTAGCCAAAGTAATCCTGCACTGCTGAATTTAATTTCTTTTTCGGTGGCTGGAGTTCAGTGATATCAGCTTTGTTCTCCCTGCCATTTGTCTGCTGCATGTTGGGGAAGAAAGGTGCACACATTTTGCGTTTTTTCTTCAATACTGGTCATAAGAAAACGCACATGGTATGATAACCATTAGTTTTCATACCATGGTATATCATGAAACGGCTATACCGCTGCAATCCTAATGAAAAGAAAGAGAAAAATGAATAAAATTGTAACTTTCTGTAATGAAAAATGTAACTGTAGCTAATAAAAATAAAACTGTATTACTAACATTTTCTGTTTTACTGTCACTCAAATTTCAGAATGAAAAAAAGTGCTCCAGGGTACAGGACAAACTTTTTTGATTATTATTAGTTTTTCTTTCTTACACAAACCTCCAACTAAAAATGAAGTGCAGTGTTTGTAGTTTTCCAAAAAACAGGTACAACAGGTTGTAGAAACATAAGTGTCCCAGACAAAATCTTACATGATTTGAATCTAAAGCTAGAGGATGTGCATGGACTGGGTGGATGGACATGGAGTTGGTCTGAAAAAAAAACATAATAAAGATATGGGATAAATCTGTCACGTCCTGTTGGCCAGCTGTATGCACTTTAAAGATGACCCCTAACTTCATAGTCATTTTCCCTGTGTATCGTTGCATCGCTTAAAAAGTACTACACTTCAACACCAGATCATGAGGTAAAAACTAATCACCTGTGCACCATCAAAAAAAGCTTTATGCACAACAAATCTGGTGGGTATTGATCTCACTCAAAAGTTGTTATTGTGGAATAACCTTGCACAGTGTCTGAATATCCAGAGTCCATGCTAAGCAGTCTTAGCTACAGGCCTACTGTTTCCTAGCAAATGGCAAGGAGTACATCTGTACAACTTTTGTTCTCACTAGTCACTAGTTCAGTCACCACCACTAGCTTTTGTACTTTTAAAAAAGTACTCTATTTTATGTAGATAAAACAACGTGTGTGAACATAAAAATCTGCACTAACTGCCAGTTGTGTGACTGAGTAATGCTCTATTTTAGCTTTGATTAGTTGTATGTTGTGTCGTAAACTTCAGATTATGCCTGTTTGCAAATGATGTGCAATAAGATGATGATGAAAACAGTTATCCTTGGGAAAGACACAGGAGTAACACGTGGATGACACTGAGTCACAATTAGCAACACTAAAACGCCTTGCTTAAAGGAAGTAAATCCAACTTGGTTCAGTGTTTTAAAGCTTAAAC